GGCGGGCGGCGAGGGGCGCGAGGAGCAGGCCCCGCCGCTCTTGCTCCCCGACGGTGGGCCCCGGGGAGGCTCCCGGGCCCGGGCCCCGCCGGAATGAGCCGGGGCGCCGGCTTCCTTAACATGAGTTGACATGAGATGGCATAACTGCCGGGGCGTCGCTTTCCAGGCCCGGTGCGGGCGGCTTGGAGCCCTGGGCGATTGTTCGGGAGACCCTGGGGGCGCAGGGAGGTTGCAACCCCAACCCCTGCCATTCTGGCCTCGACGAGGGCCCAGCGAGAGGCAAGGAAGGCTTCCCCCACCCCCCCCCAGGGAAACTCGGGCTCCTTTGAGCACCTTTTTTCGTTCCTGTTTAAACAGATGCCTTTCTGAGAACTGCCCCAGCCTCTCTCTAACCTGTCCTGGTGTGTGTGGAAGGGGGGTGGTGGCGGTGGTGAAACTTTGTCACCTCGTCAGTCCCCTTTGGCCCCAGGCTCCCAGTCCAGGAAGGAAAATGAAACCGGAGGCCTCGTCGGGTGGTGTCTGGACAGCGTGGAGTTAAGATTGCAAGGGCAGGTTGGCTTCATGTTGTCAGGGAACTTTTAAACCGCGCCCAAACACGCCAGCAGCCCCCCGTGTCGTGGTTTGCCCTTTCCACCCTAACGCTCCAGAGAGGGTTCGGGTGACTGGGTGCAAGAGTTGATCTTGGCAGAGGATGGACGTGTTGGCCTACTCTAGCCGACTGTGCATTCGTTGGTCACGGGAGGAGTTTAAACATGGTGTCCTCCTGCCCCTCCCTGCGTAGCAGGAGGGCCGAAGCCGATGCACTGAGCCCTCCGAAGCCTGACTGCTCCAGGGAGTGGTGGGAAGGAAGGTGTGAAGGCATGGTGGTGGGGTGGCATTGCACCCGAGTGGGTGATGTGACTGTGGCTTCCCCATGACATTTGAAATAACGAATTCCCTTTTGTCGTGAGCTCCTGTCAACTCTTGGGAGGAAGGAGTGGTATGGCTGGTTTGTTTTTTGGGGGTTGGGGGGGTGGTAGGCTTAATTTGTGGCTTCGGATTCCTGCTCGATTCTTTCGAAATTATTATTAATGATTCATGTTTTGAGTCGATGGAACTAGTACCTGCGTGTTTGCGAAAGAAAAAAAACAACAACAAATCAGTAAGTACTCAGCTAGCTTCCCAGCTTAGGGCAGTTTCTTTTTCCCCATTTTGTTTTGGCCCTCAGGTTAGCTTGCCCTCCCCGCACCCCCTGCCCTGACAGAGATGACCGGAAGGAGCTGAGAATCAGACTAGCAGAGGACTTCCCAGTGGCCAACTTTAGCGTACACTTGGTGTCTTTGGTGCAGTGTATTGTAGTTTGCCGCGTGTATGCTGGCTTTCCTCTCATGGCTGGTCAGCAGAATGATGAGTTAAGCTTTGTCATGTCTAGAAATTGATTTCTCACTTTGTTCCGTTTTCACCGTCTCTCACGTTCGACTTTTTTCTTTTTCAGTAGAAATGATGGAAGAATTGCATAGCCTGGACCCACGACGGCAGGAATTGTTGGAGGCCAGATTTACTGGAGTTGGTGTTAGTAAAGTGAGTAAAATGATAAGGAACATTGTTCATAGACTGACCCTTATGGAACAATGGTTAAGAATACTTTGTGAAGACCATACTGATGGTCGGATCATGGGGAAGGTTTGCTTTCTATTCAAATGAACCGTGGAGCCCTACCAGTCATCCCAGTAATCATTTAACACCATGTTTGAAGGTGTTCTCTGAGGGGGCTTCCAAACACTTATGAGAAAATGGAATTAAAGAACAAGGGGATTTTCCATGAACTTTGTGAAGGGGAACACATACTTCATTTTTACTTCTCATCCAAGAGGTATAAGGATCTTGTTGCAAGGATACTAACAGGATGTTTATTTAGAGTCGGCTGGATTTTGTCAGAACTTTTCATTCTGAAGAAAACTTTTTTTAAGTTGAAAGCATTGTGTCGGTTCAGTACTGTGGACTTTTTGAGGTTATGTGGTGTCCCACTCGCTTTTTAAATACACAATTACTAGAGATTTCAGGGGGGGAAATTCTTACATTCTGTGGAATATTTTTGATTTAGGTTGCTCTTCAGGATCTTTATTCCTTTTAAACCATGTATCTAAAGAGGAGCAAATGGAAACTATGATCCTCACATTGTCTCATAAGCTGCTTGTTATAAGTAAGCAAATTGGTCAACTTTAAAAAACAACAACACACAGTACAGTTTTAAAACCCTCTTCTGCCCAGTCTTGTCAGTTCTCCAGAGCTGCAGTCCCTCTGATTCTCCCTGGTTTCTCCTATTTGTCCTTTGTCGTGAGGAGTGTGCTGTCAGAGCAAGCCCTTATTTATGGGTACGTGTTGCACTCACACAATGTTATGACTTGTGCACCCTTATCTAGCTGCCATTTCTCCCCTCTGCTCACAGCATGCTTTAATGTCAAGTGTAAACAATCTTTATGATTTTGAGCCAGTGTGTAAAACAAACAGTTTCACCAATCCAAGGTTGTGGCATTACTTGGGTTTGAGATATGTCAAGTTTTCATCTTGAACTTCACGGGACAGAGACAGATGTCTTCCTGTGTCTTAGAAAACTTGATTTTGTGCAGTCAGCAGCAGGGATCATTGCAGTCGGGCTTGTCAGCATCCTAACTTACTGTGGGCCAGAGCTTGAGAAGTATTTAATGAAAATAAACGTATAGTTAGCCTCCGACTCTGGTTAGTAGCTTCTTGATCTTAGCCAAAAGGCCGAGAAGCGATTGGTTAGTAGCTTCTTAAATAAAAAGGTGTGTATGAGATGGAAAAGCTAGCGTCTTTGGTGACTCTTATAATTTTGGTGAGCTGGAATAGCCTGCTGGTTTTTGTTCATTTTACGAATCTCGAGTGTTCATTCCTAACGAGGCTTTTGCAGACATAGCATTTTTCTCATGCATGCAAGCGTTCATTTATTTAGCAAATGGCTGTTGAGGACTGACGTGGTGTCAAGCATGGCAGGGTGTCCAAGCTGAGAGCTCTAGGAGAGAGGAGCTGGATGGATGAGAGCTGTTGGAGATGTGGCGAGGTGCTGTGGGAACGTCGGATTTGTCGCACACGGTTTCAAGCTCTTGACTTCTTTGTAATTAAACAACTGACTTTCGTAGTACTTCGGAGTGACTGTGTACTTGGGTATTGTTATATGCTGAAGCAACTTGTACTGATGTAAATTCTCTGCTCTATGGGAAGCCTCATCAATTAGACAATGAGCAGTGTATTTGAATATTAAATTCATTATTGGTTCAATTGATTAATAATGACCTTTGATAGGACTTTTAACTTGGGAATTCATCCTAAGGTTCATATTGAGGTTTGTTCAAATGAGTAAAAGTCAGTCAGTATTTAAATTGTATGCCGTGTAAACTCATTGGACTTTATAGATGGACATTTCTATTCTTTAAGTTTATGAAGGCTATATCCCAGTATGTTCTTGATGGGATAGAATATAGGTTCCCAAATTTATTTGGACTACTGTCCCATTTTCCGGAAGGAAAAAAAAATTTACTCAGCGTCTCCTGATATCTTTTTTACTATAGAGCAGGTATCTGTTTTTTGCAGCCTCCCCGGTTGTACCTTTGAGGCCCCCCAGGGGGCAGTATGGCCCATCTGGGGAAACTGGACTAGAGCGTCAGTGTTGGGTATGAGTTGACATTCTGAATTGTGCCACCCTTGTAACAAAGGTGCCAGCAAAGTTAATGCAGCCATCTGTTCGATAGGAAGTTCCCTTTTAATATCTGTACAGAAAAAGCAGTGCATTTTTGTCCAGTTTAAAAAAAAATGAGTGTGTATTACAATGTTTTCAATCCTGGTAAGTATAGGGAGGGTACCCCCCCCCCCCCCATCCCTCCCATAGCAAAGAAACTTAGAAAACAGTAAAGAAATTATTCGGTAGTTTGTAGAGATAATCTGAGAGAAAAAAAAAATCTCCATTTTTGTATATAACTTTTTATTCACAATACATTGTATCTCTTCCACTTTTGGCTTGAAATGGGGGTGGGGAGAGGGCAGTGGTACTGGGAGAAAAACATGGGTTGGGAAAATGATCCCTTACCCTGAGTTCTGCATTCTGCGTCATGATTTTCCAAGGAGGATGTCAGCGTGTTGATAGCCGATTGCAGTTTTGCAGAGATCAAGAGTGTCAGCCCTTGCTTTTCCAACGGGAGAGCAGAGCCACTGTCCTGTGATAGTGCCATCTAGTGAGTCTGATGCCGCCTCGCCTCCTGGGCGAGCTCTCCTTTCTCCTAACTATTCATATCTTTCAGGACTTTGTGGTGTCCATAGAAGGAAGAAAGTCAGAGCCACCGTGGATGCATTCCTGTGGCCAAGAGTGGTAGAAGTAGCTGCCCTCTGTGCACTTCCTGGTTACTGTAGACCTACTGTCAGGTTGCTTCAAGTTTTTTAACACCTGAAGGTTAGATATAATCATAAAACGGAGACTAAACCAAAACAGTCAAGGAACCAAGTGTATTACTTATAATTTAAGTTAAGATTTTTGTATTGACAGGGATTTTATTTCCGTGCATTCAGGTTTTTTTTTTTTTTCCTGTAGCATGTTTAATTCATCATGCCCATGATGTAGACCTTCTTTGTTAGGGTGTGCACTCTGTGGTTTTCTTTAAATGGTGTTTTCAGCAGTCTTAAACCACCAGCCACTCCTCAGGAGAAAGAGGAGACTTTCTACTCCCATAAAGAGTTGAGAGTCTTGCAAACCCAAATTCCACCCTGTCCTAAAGGGTTGCTCTGAGTCATCATCGACTAGATGGCAGGGAGTTTAGAACACTGGGAGATGGCTTTAAGAAACCTCTACATAATCAGCTCCCTGGACTAACGGACATCTGCCATTCTCTTTTTATAACACCCTGACTGATGCCCACTGCACTGCTCCACCAGTTGAGTGATAACTTTAGTAGGATCAGGTTAATCACTTGGACTTCTTTTAATCACACAATTTAATACAAAATTGCGTAAACCAACAATATGTGATTGCCAAATGGAAGAATTGCTGTTTCTATGAAAACAAAGTTAACTGTTTTGTAAAGACTAAATATAAGGTGACCAAGAAGTGATTATACATTGGACTGCTAACGACAAGGTAAGCCGTTCAAAACTACCAGCCGATGTGTGGGAGAAAGACCAGGCTTTCTACCCCTGTAAAGATTTAGTCTCGGAAATGCACAGAGCCAATTCTACCCTATCCTATAGATTTGCTACGAGTCGGTATGGACTTGATGGCAGTGAGTTTGGTTTGGAAGAAGGAGACATTTGTAAAAATTTGTTTTAAATTAGCTCCTTGGCAACTATCTTTAAAGTTTTCACTTCAATTTTAAAGAAACAAACGAATTTGCAGCCCATGCTTTGTGGATGTGGTTGGCGTATATGCTCCTGTGGAGCCAGATTCAGTGGAGCTGTAACTCAAAGGGTTTTTTTTTTTTTTTTT